ATAGATCTGGACAAAAAAAAGAGATGTCTTTGACTCATGTGCCAAAGTGTATTGCCTAGAGTTAACGGTTTGTTTATTGATTTGAAAAGTGATCTTTTATACAGGATGGAACACCTAGGAGTTTTTCTTCATTTAAATGAACACTAAGTATACATGCCTTCCATGAGTCCCAAATGCTGTTATCCTATAACTAGAGAAGCTCTTTAGTGGGGAACTCACTCATTCTTGGTTAGCTGTCAATTATGTCTTGTCCAATATGACGTACAACACACTTATCCCCTAAGTGTCTTGTTAAAGGGCACAATATGATATGTGTATAATGTCAGATGTTTCTCTTTTAGCAATTAATTTTTTTAATGAGAAATCAGTGAGTATAAGCTGCTCATAGTGTGGGCAGCAACACAATGTGTGTGGGAGAGCTTTTTTAAATACCAAGTAAAAATGTTTCCCCTACAGTCAGGCATTAGGCAGACATGTGAACACACAACCTGTCATGCTATCGTTATGGCTGCCTTCAATCTCAGCGACCCACGCACACACAAACACCAAAACCGTCACTTGTAGCTCTCAGCCCTCTCTCTCTGTCAAACACACATACACACACTCAGGGGCCCTAATCAACGTCATCAGGGTCTCGGTTTCTGCAGATGGTGGAAATCAAAACTCAACAGGCTGAGCGAAAACACACCAGATCTGTGACAGACAGGAAGCTAAAACCACCTACACAAACTAACATTCACCATAAACAGAGTATATGGCTTTAAATAGGTTGGAGGAAACCTAGAACAAACTTATTTATTTAGAAAGCACAATAAAAGCAACAGTGCTGTACAAACCGTACTAAAGTAGTCATCAAAAACATAAAGTGTGAGTGTGTGTATATTTATATAGACCACAACACAATGAGAGGAGGAGACCCACTCGACATGGGAAAACCACCGCCGCTGAAGCGCCGTCCACCAGCACAAGAGCCCACCGAAGAGCGTGCTTGACTGTAGTTTATCACTACTGCAGAAGGTCAGGAGCAGAACGATAGAACCGCTCGGCTCCGAAGCGAAAAGCTGAATATGCGCTGCACCTGCTGCCTACTTATACTCACGCTGTGATCAGCAGCAGCTGGATGCAATAATCGCATGCCAATACGCATTGGCTCGTTTAGTTTACACTCGAAGTAGATTGGTCCCTCTAAGCGAGATCCCAATTCGTCGGTCCTCCGACGTGACGTCGAGAGTGACCGACTGAAAGGGAACTCTACTAGTGATTCAACCTTATAAGCCTGGATAAAAAGACAGGTTTTTAACTTAGATTTAAATTCAGATTCAGATTGAAATAATCTGAGGGAACCCTGGGACCATCTTGGGAAATCTTGGGACCATCAACAATCTTTGCTCAGATGAATTCAGAAATCTAACAGATGCAGATTCAAAAGGTCAGAGAGATGGTTAGGTGCTGATCCGGTTAGAGCTTTAAAAAGTCAAATTTTAGAATCGATTTTGTAACAGACCGGCGGCCAGTGCAAAGGATATCATATAGGGGAGATAGGATCAAATTTCCGGGTGCCAGTCAGAAGTCTTGCAGCATTTTGAGCCATTTGAAAACAACTGATATTAGATTGACATAATCCAATATAAAGAGAATTGCAATAGTCAAGTTGAGATCAAACAAATAACTCTCTTGAACTCTGCAAAAGGTTAAAAAAATACTCCGCCTTAAAAGGCAAATAGCAATCTTAATTGAAAAACAACAACAACAACTGGATTTAACTACAGCATTTATCTGTTTATCAAATTTGAGTGCAGAATCAAAAATAACTCACACGTTTTTCACAGAAGGTTTAACATAGAAGTCCAAATCTCCTAAGTCACAATCAGAGCTGCCTGAAGCGCCTGAAGGCCCAAACACAATAATCTCCGTTTTGCTCTCATTAAGATGTAAAAAAAAGAAAGAAAGAAAGAAATCCATTACTTGATATCAAAAAGACATACGGCTTAGGCCTTTTTGGCATTGTGCTTCAAGGGCAAATAAATTGAAGTCAACATGAAATGAAAATTGACCCTATTTACTTGCACGGTACACATTCCTGGGCTTATTGTGAACAATTCACTGGTGCATGACATTCTAAAAGAAAAAAAAATGTTTTTTATAACTTTTCATCAATATATATTTATTTATTTTATTTTTTAATTTACACTGTGTGTGTGTATATGTGTGTATATATATATATATATATATATATATATATATATATATATATATATATATATATATATATGCATATGCCCTTCCTAACTTGACTTTCCCTGTCGGCTGTCTTCACAAAGCCCTCCTACTTTACACCTCTTCTCCTCCTACCACCCTCTTTTGGTAAGCAATGCCTACTTTTCACATTCCAAGCAATGCCCTTTGGATAAAACCAAGCCCCAGTTACCATGTTTTTCTCATTAAATATCCCACTTCACCTAAAAATATGTAACATTATGAAAGTAAAATAACATTTCATATTGACTTCCATGTAAATCACCTACACCATTAAGCTTTAAATAATAATAATAACAATACTTCTATTCAGTAAAGGATGCATTCAATTGATCAGAAATGACATTATAATCTTACAACAGATTCAAGTAGGCTAAACGCTGTTCTTTTGAACTTTCTATTGAACAAAAAATCCTCAGATCATTATTTCTCTCTGTCTCTTACGTGGCTGTGGTCATGCATCCGAGTGTGAGGGATAACAGACCACTCGAGCTGAACGCTTCTATTAAAATTTAAGACTGCAGAATGGTTCTTTTTCCCTTCACACTTAATCACACTGAATCTTTCACCACCTCCCACAGAAGACATTAACAGGGAAGAGTGCTGAAAATATAACGCATGGCTGTGGAACTGACAGAGAGGGCAGCACACTAATAGGAGTAGAAAACTTTCCCTAACAAGTCTCTAATTAGATATAAGCTGGCAATGGATGCTGGACAGATGCATGATGATCAGTCAAAGGGGCTGCCATGTTATTTGGGCAGCTGAGAAATCTTCTATACTGTCTATAATTGGGGCTAAGGCTGTAGATACCTTATTCCTCTGACTCCTGACTAACAGATTCCTTTCCATAAACAAGCATTAAGAAGAAGCAGATCTCTGTAATTGGTTCCCTGATGTCCTGCAGAGCAGCAATGCAAACAAATGTCAGAATGACCACTGTGTGGCTTGTCATAGCTGTAGGGAATCGGCAGAGGACACCGCAGTTTGTATTTGGTAGTTTGGTAGTTTGTAGAGGTGGTTGTATTTGGGTGGTTTGTACATAACGCATTTTTGCATTAAACAAAACATTTATTCAAAATGTAAAAATCTAGAAACAACTGAAAGCAGTACAAAAATTATATATTTCGGGTGGCCTTTTAAACATGTTGAGGTTGGATTTTATACAAAGTGTGAAAATGTGTGATGCAGATACACACTGGCTAATGAGAGGTCTGTATAAAAAGTGTTTATTGGGTCTAGGTGGTTTTTTTTGTTTTTAGTTTTTTTAGAATGGCACACATGGCATTGCTTGAGGATCTTGCTGTGTGAAAGTGTTTGCTGAGAGTGACAAAAGGGAAAAATCCCATATATGTATACAGTTTGGCCGTGTTTTATGTAGATTACTAACTCAAGGTCGCTCATTTAAAAAACCTCATATACATTACTCTAGGACTAAGTTAAGAACAAATTCATACATGTACACGTGTAGTGAAATAGCCAACATTTTTGCAAGAATTTCACTTGCATATAAATACAAATAATTATCGCAATTATTACTTGATGAGACACAGTGTTTTCCACCACAAAGCTAATAACACCAAGGTCATTGGTTTGATTCCTAGGGAATGCAATAACTGACCCAATGTGCACCTTGTAACCAATTTCACTTTTTTTTAATGCAAAATGAATCAGATCAAAATGAAGCCTGTTTACTTTCTAAATAAATCCTGGTCTTACTGCATGTTATTCATTAGTGCAAGTTATTCCAAAATAAATAAATGAATAAATAAAAAATAAATGTCTTTAATATCTTTCTACAAAATAAATAACTTGCTCAACTTGTAAACCAACTTTCGTTTTTGACTGACATCATCTAGGCCATGCAGGCAATTGGCTAATATTAACCAATAGTCAAACAGCTATTTAGGAACTGTTTTTAAAACTGGCTTGGAATAAGCCAATAATTTTCCAATGGATAAATTCAACTCCTACGTTTTTTTTCTCAATGAATATCACATTTCACCCTGAAATGCATTTTATTATGTAAAAGTAAAATGCGCTGAAAATCGGTCTTGAAGGAAAACAAGCTGTACATAGGGCTTACAAGAGTGCATAAGTCAACAGCCAGTTGTAAGGCGTTAGTAATAACTGCAAGGATATTATCATTAAATGTCTTTAAAAGCATGGTGTAAAGCCAGTAATTTCCCAATGGATAAAGTCCTAAATTTTTCCCTCACTGAATATCACAGTTCACGCTGAATTGCATCTTATTGTGTAAGTAAAATGGGCTTAAAATGTGATTTCATGTTAACTTTCGGTGACAATTAGTCTGGAAGGAAAACAAGCTGTACTGTATTTACAAGAGTTGTAAAATCTTTGTAATACTAGCAAGGATTCTTTTGTGAGATCAGTACAACATAGCTTATAAAGTGACATGACATGTGGCCAAGTATGGTGACCCATACTTGGAATTAGTGCTCTGCATTTATCCCATCCACACACACAGCAGTGAACACACACACCCAGAGCGGGGGGCCGCCATTTTTTGCTGCGGCGCCCGGGGAGCAGTTGGGGGTTCGGTGCCTTGCTCAAGGGCACCTCAGTCGTGGTATTGAAGGTGGGAGAGAGCACTGTACATTCACTCCCCCCACCTACAATCCCTGCCGGTACGAGACTCGAACCCGCAACCTATGGATTACGAGTCCGACTCTCTAACCATTAGGCCACGACTTCCCATTCCTTCCTTATTTAAATTCACCTACCTGTTCAGGATGCTTGCTTCCTGTGATTTCAGCCACAGTGTTGTAGGAGTCAACATCTGGCAGTGTTTGGGCCCCCATAGTCAGACGCACCACAATCCTCTGGCCTCTGCGGGCCATCCTGGCCATCATCTGGGCATCCTCGACAGTGATGCAGGCAGTGGGGATCTGAGGCACTCCAGGCTGGTACCACTGCCAGCCAGTGTGGGGGCTGAAAACAACACCATGAGTGTGTTAAAACTCAGAAATTTGCTTTTTATATAATACATATTGTAATATACATTACTGGTCAAAAGTTCAGAATAATTAAAAGGTTTTTTTTAATGCAATTTAAGCCTTCGATGGCAAATCTGAATTTTCAGCAAGTATCATCAATTATTAATAGTGCTAAATTTTTAATAATGGTTCTTATTATTATCAATGTTGAAAACAGTTTTTTCTGCTTAATATTTTAGTGGAAACCATGTTACATTTCTTTTGTCAGAATTCTTTGATGAATAGAAAGTTTAAAAGAATAGCACGTATTTGAAATATGAATGTTTTTAATATATTTGTAACATCATAAATTGCTTTACTGTCACTTTGGATCAATTTAATGCATCCTACTAGATAAAAGTATTAATTAATTCGGTAACACTTCATTTTAGGGTCTCTTAACTAGTTGCTTATTAGCATGCATATTACTAGAATATTAGCCATTTATTAGTACTAATTAAGCACATATTAATGCCTTATTCTACATTACCTTATTCTAGATCCCCAATCCTACCAAATACCTAAACTTAACAACTACCTTACTAACTATTTATAAGCAACAAATTAGGAATTTATTGAGGGAAAAGTCATAGTTAATAGTGAGTAAGTGTTCCCTATTCTAAAGTGTTACCATTAATTGTTATATATGACCCTGGACCACAAAACCAGTCATAAGGGTCAATTTTTTTGAAATTGAGATTTATACATCATCTGAAAGCTGAATGAATAAGCTTTTCATTGATGTATGGTTTGTGAGATACAGCTATTTGAAAATCTGGAATATATTGAGAAAATCACCTTTAAAGTTGATCAAATGAAGTTTTTATGGATATTATGCATATTACTAATCAAAAATTAAGTTTTGATATATTTACGGTAAGAAATTTACTAAATATCTTCATGGAAAATGACCTTTACTTAATATCCTAATGATTTTTGGCATAAAAGAAAAATCTATAATTTCGACCAATACAATGTATTTTTGGCTATTGCTACAAATATACCCCAGCGACTTAAGACTGGTTTTGTGCTCCAGGGTCACATATACACTTTATACTTAATTCTTATTTAACTTTTGAATGATAGTGTATCACATTTTCCACAAAATATTAACAGCACAACTGGTTTCAGCATTGATAATAATAAGAAAGCACCAAATATTAGAATGATTTCTGAAGGACCATGTGACACTGATGATTGGAAGTAATGGCTGCGGAAAATTCAGCTTTGCCATCATAGGAATAACTTAAATTTGAAAATCCATTCAAATAGAAAACTGCATTTTAAACTCTAATAATATTTCACAATATTACCGTTTTACTGTATTTTAGATTAAATAAATGGAACCTTGGTGAGCTTAAGACACTTTGTTAAAAACCTATTCCAAACGTTAAACTGGTAGTGTTTTTTTATTTATTTATGTATGCACGCATGTCAAATTGTAATTATCCCAAACTCTGGTAGTGTTTTTTTTATTTTTTTCAGTATTATTATAATTATTTATGTACTTATTATTTTTTCTTTATTTATTTTTACATTTATTTATTTATTTTTTGAGAAACTAATTATCTCTGGAGTCTCATCTTTAAAGACTTTTTTTCCCCACTTTTGTTGACAACTTTATATTCAAATTTCTGTTAATAGCCAGTTTTAGTTTAGTTTACAATAGCAGTCCTTTTAATTCAACAGTGTGATGGTTCTGACCTGTTGATGGAGAACGGAGTTACTGAACGGATAAGTGAAGCCACGGCTCCAACTTTAGCAGCCTCTGAGGCCCCTGAAGCCCGATAGGCTACGGTCTCCCCATAGCTGACAAACGGCTGGTTATACACAACGATTTTCCCTTTAGCCTCACTCGCTCTCTTTTTGAGCTCTTCAAAAGACTCCACCACCATTACCTCTGCCTCTATACCTGCCAGAAGAATATAAGCTGGTTAGATATTTGCAGGTGCAGGTATTTAAAAGATGAATAGTGACTACTAACCTCCTAGAGGAGTTCCAACACTACTACCAAGCCCGAGTATGGCTAAAGTGTGGTTTCTCGGTAGAAGCATCACCGCGCTCTCCTCCCCCCGCACCCAGTGAGGGATCTTCACTTGCTCTAGATGCACATTCTCCAGTCCGTCCCGTGTCAGGGCATTGTACATGTACTTAATGGCCAGGTCTAGGTTCTTAGAGCCACTGACTCTGTTTCCAACAGTGTCAGTGAACTCAGCCAGCCTCTCATAGGAACGGTTCTGAGCCTTGCCATATACTGCTAGGTTTATGATTCGCTGAGCGATGTCAGAGTACTTAAAAATCTCTTTGGATATTTCTGAAAGCGGTTTACTGTCATAACAGTGAGGCCTGGAGTGACACAGTAGACAGCGAAGTATAAGAAGAGTCAGAAGCACCTGACTAATGGAGTTTAGACACCTGCTTTTACTGCAAGCCATCTGAAAAGCACATGACAGGGGGTAAAAAGTCGAACATTTCTGTTTAAAAAAAAAAAAGGAATATTTGGCATTTATCATATAGTTAAATATTACTTCAAATAATGTTTTAATATATATATATATATATATATGCACACACACATTTCTGTTATGGCAGTAATGCAGTTTAACTGGTCATAAATTGTTTCCTGGAACTGTTTTCAACATTGTTTTTTTCCTGGTCGTTCTTGATATGAAAACATGTTATACATTGAAGCCCAAACATGTAAGCTACTGCCATTTATTTGATCACTTGCTCATGTTGGCACATACAGTATTAATAATAATAATAATAATACAGTACTTTCAAGCACAGCTGGTTTTACGAAATCTAAAAACGCAACAAACCGTTTGCTATTTTGCAAAAGATATTAGACGACATAGTGGCTTATTCTTGGTTTTTGAGAAAAGCTATTAAAATACTTAAATGCGTGATTTAAATAGCAATGTATTAAAAATTATAAATAATTTACCGGCATGATTCATAATGAAAGTACACTGTACATACCTTGAAAACATTGGGCGCTCATGTGGCTACGGCAAGCTCCAAGGGACAATCAGACAAAACGCGTTTAGTAGTCAACACGAGACAGCTTTCACAACGATATTTCATGAACCGTTGCAGTTCTTATGAAGCAGATGGTTAACATTTTACGTTGTAAAAACACACGGCGGTTTAAAAAATGTATGGTTTACTGTATTAATTTATAGATCAGGGTGTAGGCTAAATGTGTTAGGCTAACCAAGATGAAAACCTTTTTTTAATCCATAGGCATTTCCATAAGATGTATTAGCCTATTATTATTATCAAATCAAATAAGACAGGCTTTAGGCTACTGCTCTTACTAAATAGCCTAATATTTGACAACTATTTTACGAGATAAACGCGAATGACAGTAGTATGGACTACTGGACTCTTTTGTGAAATTTTGCTATATAATTATTAGGCTATATTTATATATTTTTTTGCAATACAATTCCTCCCAAATGGTTTGGTTTGACATTACAGCTTCGAAAACCAAATCAAATTTGCTAAAGCTAAAACAACATCAAAAAACCAACACATTTATGAATAACTATAAACATGTTTATGCATATCTTTTCTGCAGTTTGTGGACAGGTGTCCTGACTAATAAGTGTGAGATTCTTTCAGAGACAGCCTTTGTGGCAACTTGTGCGTTTAATACATTTTCCTGTCAGAGATTTAACATCTATGGACAAATCCCAGAGCAATCTTCATTGGAGGAGTTACATTTCCACCACAGCTTGTGTTTGATGGTCCAAAGAGAGAGTTGAGAGCCACTTGGCATGCATATTGATTCATTATGTACATATTCATACACACACAGTGATTAAACAAGTTGAGAGTAATCTCCAAAGAGAGGTGCATATGTCGATGCACAAGAAACGTAATTAAAATACCATGAGAAAATGTTTATTCAGTAGTGTTTTTTTATGAAATACAATACTGTTTCTGTGACATTACCACTCATCACATTTCTCCAGTTCCAGCTTTTAACATCATTCCGATGCACAAATGTCCTCAAATCCCTGTAGAACTGTTTCAGAACAGTAGGCACTTCAAGGGCTTCTAAAACATTTGTGAATATACATTTTCATAGATTGTTTTTAACTAACATATTACATATAATATGTAGTATATAAATAATTATATTCTATAAATTATTGTATATTAACATATACAGAGACGTCATTGACTCTAAATGGTCAGGTCTTTAAAAGAAACGATGGAAATACACATGAAAAGAAGAGTAAAAATGAGCAGATGTGATTCATGTTATTAATCACCTTCACTGTTAACAACACTGTTCGAGTCTTTGGAAGGTCAGAGACATTCAGCAGAATATGCTTGAGTCAGAAACATAGGAGAAATCTTTGCAAAAGCTGCTTCCGCGTGAGGGATAATATTATGAAATAAAGAAAAATGGCCTTCATTAGGGTTCCAGTCAACAGTGAACGTTGGGAATGTGTTGATTGAGAACAGTGTGGGCGTAAAAATCAGTAATACTGACGACTTATACTGGGTAAATGATGTTAACCTGTCATGGAAGATTCATTACTGGACTCTTCCACTTGTTCATAATGAAGACTGAATTCGTGTGAAAAAAAATCCATATCTTATTCTAATGAACCATTTTTTTCCTTCCAAGCATTGGGTAAGTGGGTATCAAATAGTTCTGTGAAAAAACAAAACATTCTTGACCTTGATGTGCTTTTTTTGTGCAATGCAAACTTGCATAATGGTTAAAGTAATTGTAATAATTTAAGTAAATTACTGCAGTGCTATGAATGGTGACGTCGCAGACTTTCAGTCAAGTACAACTGATTTTTCTAAGAGACTTTACCCTGCATGAGTGTTTACATGAAAAGAGAGAGAATAAAGTAGTACAGGTAGAGAGCAATGTGTTCTTGGCTTCAGGCAAAGTAGAATTTGAACTTTTAGGGACTTAACACTGTACCAACTACATTAGAAACATGAAATACATATAAACATTCTGAATAATTCTGTGATCTTTGAATGATATCGGCCAGACGGAAGTACACACATTCATTTTGACTGAAGAACAGAATGGCACAAGCCAAGGGAGAAAAACCCTTTACAAAAATGATGAGATGAAAATGAAGTTACTGATCAAATCCACACTGAGATAAGTTACTGAAATGTAATCAGTGGGAAATTAAAGGTATCAAATATAACCCAGGATTTACATTCCGGAATTGTCTTGTTCTTTAATAAAATGTTCTTCTACTGTTACAAAGTAGTCAATGACTAAAACCTGTGAGCAATGATTTACCTTCATACACTGACAACAACTGTTTTCAAAACCCATAGAGAAACAATCTTTGACGTTTTTGATTCCAAAAAAGAAAATACAAGCCCCGGTTGGCTTTGTGAAGCAAAATTACTTATTTTGTTACATTTTTAAATAAGTACAGGTTCCCCGTAAAAAAAAAAAAAAAAAAAAAAAAACCCCCCCGTTGCTCCCCCCCCTTTCTTTTGGAGGGGGGGGGGTTGTGGCGTAGAACTCTTTACTCGGAGCCTTCTGATAGGCTGAGTTGGGATGCTTGCGCTCTCCAAGGTCGTAGCTCCCCTCGTCCTTCTTTCTCATACGGTACACCAGAAGGAGGATGAGGAAGATGGCAAACAGGAAGCCAATCACTCCGCCGGCTATAACCGCTGCACCAAGAAAAATGACACCATATCAAAAAAATTCATATGGTTTGAAATAATATCTCAAATCATATTCAAGTACACATCATATTCAAATGCTTCAACGAAAACTTACAGATGTAAATGAAATAAAATATTAGAGAAATTTGACAGAGAGACAACAATGGTTTGTCAGCTTATAGAATTTATTAAAAAATAAATCAAAAATCATGGGTAATTTTGAGAAAAATCTTTTATTTATGTACTGGGATAAAGATTTGATTTTGTCCTTGATCAACCTTGAATATCTTGTAATTATGTTTTATTCTATTTGACGTTTAAAAATACTATTATTATTATTTTACACACACACACACACACAAAATGGATATGCCTTGAACTTTCTAACACAACAAGTCAACTAGCAGTCCATTATAAAAAATAAAAAAAAATGGCCAAATTGGTCAATATTTATGAATTTTAATTATGTAAATGTGAAAATTTTCAGTTAAGTATATTTCTAGCCTTTAAACTGGCACTCTGCTGCTTTTGCAGAAATATGCACCTCATCACTTATAATTTCCATCATAACCAAATGTAAACTTTTTTGGGGGAAAAAAACAAAAAAATGGTAAATTTGTATACATAAATATTAAATAAATAAAAAAAAGTAATACTAAAACTTTAAAACTAAAAAAATTTACAAAGTAGAATTTTCTTGATTTGTAAATATCAATACTCCACAAAATGAAAAAGTAATAAAAAATAAGAAATTAAATTTTTTAAGCATTTTTTTCCTTTAAAATCTTAACAGGGGACTAAAAAGTTCCCCTAATTGAAGAAACACTCTTGTATGCTGTTCATTTTGAACATACCTGCCAGCACTTCTGTCCTTTGGAAGAGATTTTCTGTGCGAACCTCATGAAGCGGGTCAGCATCTTGTACAACACTCGGTGAGCTGGTGGCTTCAACAGTGACCTGGGGCTTTTCTGTCTGATAGCCAGAGATCTAAAAAAACAGTGAGAGAGGCAGAGAAAGAAAGACAGCTTAACATCGAAATTGCTGACACAAAAAACAATTGAGCTTGTAGATAGTGTTGGAAAAAGTGAAGAGATTTAATAACAAGATTGAAGGATCCAACATAATAGTAATGTTCAGTAAAACTGTGAGAGACAGCAGGTCAGTGTAAGCATCAAAAAGCGGCAATATCAAAAGTATCACAAGTTGTCACAGTTTTGCAGGCTGTGCAGGTTTTCGGAGCAGCGGGAGTCAGCAAAAGCTTTGATAGTGTCAGAATCAGTATGACTGAAATGGGCTAGCAACCGCACCTCTGGTTCTGGCTCTGAATCAATGAATGGGTCTATGCTGATTTTGTCCATCTCTTTGGAAATGGAGGACTCTGAGCTGGGGCTGCTGCTGTAGACAGGCTGCTGAGTAGACCCTTCTTTGAATTCTGGGTACCGCACAATTACCGTGGAAGTGTCTTCATCATCACCTGTGTCACTTGAACCTAAAGAGACATGAGAAATAAAGATATGAGTTGAATAAATAAGCTTTCCATTGATGTATGGTTTGTTAGGATAGGACAATATATGGCCGAAATACAACTATTTGAAAATCTGGAATCTGAGGGTGCAAAAAAATCAAAATATTGAGAAAATTGCCTTTAAAGTTGTCCAAATAAAGTCCTTAGCAATGCATATTACTAATTTTTATATGTGTGTGTGATATATTTACAAAAATGTATCAAGTTTTGATATATTTACGGTAGGACATTTACAAAATTTCTTCAAGGAACACGATCTTTACTTAATATCCTAATGATTTTTGGCAAAAAAGAAAAATCGATGATTTTGACCCATACAATGTATTGTTGGATATTGCTACAAATATACCCGTGCGACTTAAGACTGGTTTTGTGGTCCAGGGTCACATAATATATTATATTATATTACATTTTGTGAGGATTTCAAATGTACTCTTTCTGCAGGTTACACTTAAATTCACGAAAACAAATTCCTCGTATGTGTAAACATACCTGGCAATAAAGCTCATTCTGATTCTGATTCTGAAATGCCAGAAGGTAGCAACAAGTGACTCTTTATGAGCGAGTCATTGGAATCATTTACTCAACTAACTAGGGTTGCATTCCACTTCGTTTTTTTATGCTGTTCTCTCGCTAACTTCCCTATGTCTCGGATGTACGTCACTGATTACACTGCACGAGTTCCCACTACTGGTGGAACCCTTGCAATAGGCTGAATTGGAAGGTCCTAATTGCCTATGGATGATTAAGTTGATTAATTATTTACTTTTTTTTTACTTTACAGATTTGTATGATGCAGCATTCTGTATGTATATAGATATGTTTCGGCTGTTTTAAATATTTAAAAAATAATTTATATATCATAGAGTTGTTTGGGGTGGGGGTAAATTAAATGCAATCTGTGGTGACATCACAATCGAGTTGCATTGTTGTATATGGAGTGGCCTGAAGTGTACAGTACATATGAAGCAGACTTGCTCCCTCTGTCAAAATCGAGGGGTCAAGGGTCTGTCCATATAAATTTCCCTCGTCAACTTCACAAAGTGAAACGCACTTCAAAATGGCAGCAGAGATTCCCTGGACCACAAAACAAAGTGCTTAAGGTGCGAGTGTGGGTCGAAAAGTGAAGTGTAACACAGCCTAGCTCAAAAGCATTGATTCATTCATGAACAAACTAATTTTCTTTTTTTTTCATATTGTATATTGACTTTTTTTTTTTAGTTAGCCCCGATTTTCACTCGCCGACAGGTTTTGTGAAATGCCACAACACAACAAATGCCCAAAATCGGAGGCAAATCGGTGCTCATTCATGTGAATGACAATCACACAGTGTGAATTACCAAAGATGCGATCTGAGAGAATTGCCGACGCATCGCCGATGCCTGTGAAATATTTGGCATGCTAAATATCTGAACCTGAAGGCGATTTAAAATCCTGCTGCGTGAAATGTGTTGTGACTGAAAAATACATCGGCGATGACCTACAGCCAACGAGAGAGCAAGATACAGGGCAGCGGGAAGTTTGGGGAGAAGTTATAGACTAAAATTTCAGCAATCCTAGATCCCCGCTCCCCCAAATTCCTCCTCCATAATCTTTTTTTCTTTTTCACCTTTTCCCTGCAAATCAGTGTACAGATCATTTGTATCACAAACTTCTTGCTGGCTACCATTTTAATAACATTTCCAGTCTTGTGCAAGAACTCTGATCTCACGTGTGATCTTGCGTTATTTCTCGCGTGTGTTTGGTTGTGCGTTTGGTTGTCGCTGATCCTTCTATTATAAAGTCATGCAGTGTGTAACCTCTTGTCGCCGATCCATCGTACAATGTGAATGCTACCCCAGCCAGTCGTGCAGTGTGAAAATAATGGTGATCCGACAACTTTGAAAATTGTGCAGTTTGAACATAAGTGATTGTTTTCATGAGAGAGTCACTGAATAATTCTCTCAACCATTTCATTCAGAAACGAAACTATTGTCTATTGCTCGGGATGCACAACAGTTAATTCTGCCGTGGCTTAATTTGGAACTATTTTTATTGGCAGAGCAAAGTCACTGGCAATACTGTGTGTACAGCCATGCTTATTTTTTGTCAGCACTTGTTTGTACGATATTGGTTAAATATCTTATAAGCCTATATTTTTTGCCGTATCTTTAGCTTCGTCGGAATGTTTTGAACACAAGAACAGGTTTTATGTTAATATCTATTCACACAGAATGTGTTTTTGTGTTATTCTGTGCTGATTTTACATGCTCCAGATGAACATGTCTGACCATTGTGGTCGCACTATGCATATTTTGCAGCGTTTCGCACATTCGAAAAACACAGCGATCACGTTAAAAACAGTTTAAAAAAGCATCTCTAGACCTTGTGTTATTTTCTTTCCAATACCCTCCATCTCACTTTTTTAAATGCAAAAATGCATTCTGTTTGAATGGCCCCTAAGCAACACGTCTGGTAAACCTGAAACCAGCCTGATCGTACAGGGTTCTCTCGAGACTGATTATGCAACTATTCATTTGTAAGTCAATTTCGAAAATATGAGGTTTGCACGTCTATGACGTTATGGTCTGATGGGACTATAATGGCATCCCAGTGGCCTGAGCTTTAGTTTAAATGTTCCAATCTTCCCTCTTTCTTGGACTTTGAGTTCTGTATAAATATAACCATAGAGAATGGGAATGCACGATCAGCACTATTGTACTTAAAGTGTTTCCAAGAGAGACAGATGAAATATATAAAATGTATAAATATTTCAACCGTTCTCTCCATTTTGCACTGTAATTGTGCCAGGTACAAGGCACTGTGGTACAGCAGTAAGAGGTAGAGAAATTACTTATTAATAATGCAGAGTTTCTGTATGGAGAAGACATCTGCTGAGTGACCATGGTGGTCTTGGCTGACCGCGTTTGACTGCAGGTGAAACATCTGTCCGCTCACAGGGTGGGCAGCATTGTCTAGCAACCACCTAGCAGCCCTTCTATTACCAAAATATTACACAACCTTTAGACACAACAAAACTGGCTCTGTGGGTTGATTATAAATACTTAATTAAATGATTTTCTAGTCCATAAATTAATTGGTAATGAGGTGACGAGGTGCTCTACTAAAAGTCCATAACTCAATGATGCACTAGTAAGACGACTGAGAAAATGTCCAAAATTGCGGTTTTAATAGCATGTAATAGCATAATTTGTCTTTAATAATTATAAAATAAACATTACTACTCTAACTAGCCCAGACTTTTCCATTTTTTAGGTGCTGGCACACTGCAAGGGTGTTCTAGGTGGTTGCCAGGTCATTTCTATGCAGTTTTGATTGGATTGCCTACAGATGGCTACTTCCTAGACCAAGCCAAAACAGCTGTTCCATGGGTTTACACTTAGTGTGTACGGTCGCATGCTAGAGTCCAGTGAGTCTTTTTTATTTATGATGTCCCATTTGTCATTTTAGGTTTCAGAAGGGTCCAAAGCAGACTACTACCCTACATTAGGGCCATTTTATCTTCAAAGTGTGGACTTTGAGGAAGAATCAAGGCCTTAGGCTGGCATGGCTCAGGGTTTTTGTATATCTGATGATCTGGGCTGCCTCAGAATAGTGATAGTACTAATATGGGCAATTTTAGAATCAACTGAACTGATATAAACAATCCTTACCTGATCCTGAACCAGAAGTGAAGTCATCATCATCTAAAGGGTAGTCACCAGACTGCTGGTCATCCAAATAGATGTCATCAGTTGAGGCAGGGGACTGACCAGAGACCAGTACCTACACAGGTAAACACAAGCAGAACATTCAGAGCCAAAACATCTAATTTCATCTGAAAATGTTTGAAATTCTAGTGAGCTAGTGAGCTTTCTTCAAAGAAAAATATTTAGCCATTCCTATACATATCTTCACAGTTACAAAAAAAAAGAAAGAAAGAAATGTACACCACTTAAGTACCATTATTAACATATCAAACAAAACTTTTCTTTCCATTTCCAAACACAACACTGAAGAAAATCCTGGCTGATTTTGTTTTATGCTGAAGACATAAACAACAAATACGCCTGCCCAAGGTTCCTCCCACTTCTGTTTCCCTGGAAACTACCTTAAAGGAAAGTAATGTTTGATTCTCTTCCTCAGGAGAAAACTCTCTGAAAGCTCTCTGACCCACTAAAACGGTGCTAAGAAACCAATCTAAAAGTCAGCATCTGTCATTTCTCCACACATTGTGGAGGTAACAAAAGGTTTATCGCTCTGAAGTAATACTTCAAGGTTGAGGGGGGTGTAAACGGACAGCCACGGTCTAGCAAACAAATGCAAGAGGCTATCATTGTTGTCAAGATAGAGGGGCAGATGGACCAATGACTATTTCCAAAACCTATGACCCTTTCTTTTTCACCGTGTTGGTATCACATCCTCCAGTGACCTTGTCATCTCCCACAGACCTCACCATTCATGCTCGCTCGGCCTCAGCCGTCTCTGATCTTTTCCATCCATATTAACCCTTCAGCAAATCACAATGCGCCACAAGCAGGACCAGTCACAAAAACAGCCGGCCATGCTTTGTGCACCTGTGTGTGATTGTATTTCTTATATTGTGGAGGGCAAACAATGAAATGAAGCACTGATATTGTCTGTATATGTGTGTGTATTTGATTAAAGTCTACAAGAGCGCCAATGGATCCGACAATGAGATTGGATAATACTCCAAGCACCTTTGTGTGCAATCTGAATCCTCCTATTCACCCGGATGATAAATAATGGCACTCAGGTGATAAGGTTCAATTTTATAGTGGTCACTCATGCAGGATAAAAACCCAGAAAGAACGAAGGGGTTGGATTCAAAGCCTGTACAATAACAGGAGGCTGGAGCGGGTGCTGTTTTCAGAGGCGCTGAGGGGGAGATTAAACGGGACTTGAAAGCCAATGGAAGACTAAATAAAGCCATAGAAGAGCCAGAGCCTGTGATCAGCCATGGGTCCTGCTCAGGACATCTCAAACATACATCAGCCTCTGTTTGACTCTTCACATTTTTCACAGTCTCCTCACAAAGCAAAGGCTTTCATTAGGTGTCATTGCTCATCGTGACAGAGAACACACAGGAAGACGGGATACAAAAACCCTGTTTAACCTCGACAGCTTACAATAATTGAACTTGAGTGACATAAGGGCTGAGTATGAAACCTAAGGCAGCTGTCCAGACAGTCAATGACTAGACAGCCAGTGTTTTTGTATAAAGGTTCCTAAGCAAATTGGTTTCAGACAGACTTCAAAGGCAACGTAATGGCATCTCAAATGATCTAGAACACATTCATGTGAGCTTTAGACATATCTGCGAATATTTAATGTCAACAATGCTTATGTCCAGGAATGGAGAGTCAATGAAAAACAAAAAGCAGCATTTTTTTATAGACAGGATCCACAAACAGTGGATTTGAATGCACCTTGATGTCTTCCTACTTAGTAAAATGTGTAGGACAGGCAGCAAGGAGCTATTTCTACCTGATCCAGTTAGTTCACTCAAAATAAAAATCCTCTCATCATTTACTCACCCTCACATTGTTCCAAACATGACTTTCTTTCTTCAGCAGAACACAAAAGAAACATTTTAAAGAATGCTGAGAACCAAGCAAGATTGGACCCCATTGACTTCTACTGTATGCACAAGAAAAACGCTGAGACATTTCTCAAAATATCTTCCTTTAGGTTCCACAGAAGAAAGAAAATCAGGTTTGAAACGACACAAGGGTGAGTAAAAGATGACTGAATTTTCCTTTTTTTGTGAACTATCTCTTTAGGAGCTATTTTTTACCTGATCTGACCTTAAAAAAACTACTTCTGTTGAGGTACCTTAATGTTGTCAGTTGAATCAATGATATGAATCATATTCCAGTTCATTCAGATGTTACCACATTAAGCACATTTTTATTTTCAAAATGAATCACATTTTACAAAACCTATGTTTTACTGTCTCTGCATAGTACACCTTTGAAAGCACTTTTTTTATTTCATTTTCTCTTTCTCTTTTATTCCACATTTAGAACATAATATTAAACATGGTAAGATAGCTTGTCTGAAAGTCACTGCCATGATATCTAGGATGCAGTGCTATGCATTTGCTAACGTGCTCTGTTGATGAGGTGCTCAGGTTTTTAGTACGTTGCTAGGAGGTCGCTAGGGTGTTGGTAAGAGGTTTCTAGTGTGTTATGTGTGCACAAAACCTAGTAGACCAGTAGAAGTCTGTGCTGATGATGCAAATTATGTCATGTGAACAAAAGTGGAATGCGAACAAATTAACTTTCAACTTTAAGTTGGCATTAAATGGAATTTGTCTTATTAATTTACCTTTATCCAATCAATAACCAATGTTTATAGAACCAAGTCCCCACCAAACACTCGCTCTTAAAAATAAATGTTATTTTAATGGCATCTACCGTTCCATGAAAAACTTTAATATCCATGGAACCTTTCAATTGCAAGTTCTTCATTGTGGAAAAAGGTTCTTTAGATTACTGAAATGTTCTTCACACCAAGAAAAAAAGGTTCTTTTAAAAACTGTTCACTAAAAGCTTCTTTGGGGAACCAAAAATGGTTTTACTATGGCATCTGTGCCAAAAACGTTAGAATCACTTTTGGAATCTTTATTTTTAAAAATCTGTTCCAATCGAATTTACACTACAATATGGAAGATACTTTGTTACTTCTGTTACATTGCGACTTTAAGTATGAGCAATAACACTAGTAGTCATGCCTATTTTAGCTAATAACACTAAATATCTAATACAATACGTGTAAAGAAGGTACAAAAGTAAAATTGCAAGAGCATAAGGAACATTTTATTCATAAAAATAGCACATTTATATTTTTTAAAGGTCAAACTTAACCACCAGTATCAAATCCTAAAATAATTACGACATACATTTTTCCTTGTTTTTCTCTCATATGAAATTGAGAGTCTCTGTTGCTTAATCCGCTTTCCAGCGAGAACGATTTCGATCCCTGCGATTTTCACACCCATGTGTTTCATGAAAACTGGCTTTAATGAATGGCTAAAGTGATTTAGGAAGGCCTCTAGAAATTCCTAGCGTTTAATTGAATGGGAATGCTCGGAAGAGCTTCAGTCAAAATTGCTAACGGGATGAAGGGACTAAAAAGTCACGAACTGAAAGAATTTACTGCAGGTGGAGCAGTCAGATCTCAGATTTCAGGCTGAAGTCATTGTATTTTCTTTACTTTGAGGACAGCCATGAAAGAGCGAGAGAGACGTTAGTGAGGAAAAGCGAAGGAGTGAGCGAGCGAGGTAAGAGTGTGTTGGATAATATTTCTCATTCCAAAACAAACTCCTGTCAGCCATATGAAGGTGAGAGCCACATTCCTGAGTTCCCGGACTGCAACACAAGTGCTGTATTGTGCGAGGGTCTGAGTCCTTCTCTTTCAGCCTGTGCCAATGATACAGCTGGACAGGAAACTCTGAAACTCACAACCAGCTCACTCTTCTCACTCAAACAGCCTTGCCAAGCACACCGTGTCTCTCTCTCTCAGCACACCGTCACCAACTCGTATGTTCCACACAGTGTCCAGCCAGCTGTAGGCAGCTGCCAAGTCGCAGAGTTGAAAGCAGAGAGAACGCACTGACACATATACTGAATTTGGCAAGCGGAGGTCTAAAGTACATAAAAGGAAAACATTTACTGCCGACCGAAAATGAGGTGAATAATTCAAAGACAGGAAGCAACCAGGCCAGGAAATTAGAATGCTGTCCGTGCCAGCATTAAAATGTCTACACCTATATTGTAATTTAATATGCTTTTAATATGACTTCATTTGTCCTTCACATAGAGAATGACAGTGACAGAAGCTAAATGCTAGTGCCAGTTCTCCAGGTGGCTCTGTCGGTTTCCACACCCTGTGAAATCCTGATTAATTAAGTCTAGTCAGGCTTCCCTCACACTCTTACGTGTTCTCTGTGTCACGTTTTATGTGTTTATGCCATTACTGAGCTAGCAAATGTAAATGCAGCTATTTTCCATAAGCCATTTCTCTCAAGTCAACAACATCTTGTAGAATGAGTGGTATATCCATGGACAGACTCAGTATGGACTGAAAAGCAGCTCTTTATGTTCTAAATCTCTAATGTTAGTTTTAACCATTAAAAATGAAAATCTACGGTTAAGTCATACAAAAATAAACAACCTACAATTGTCAGTGTGGCTACTTCAACTTACAAACTGTACTGTACTGTGTTTCAATAATATATCAGATGGTGTAATAATAACTAATTATCTTTGCATTTTAAATACATGTGAAGGCCTCGTTATAGCCCAAGCAAATTGAAGAAGGAACTGGTGTGACAACTGCCAAAGTGAACTTTCTAGAAAAAGTTTGCTGGAGAACTGCTTCATTGTATAAACTAAAGTTGTAATTCTAATTGAAAGCAATACAGACATACATTTTTCATGTTTAACACTGTAAAGCTGCTTTTAAAGCAATCTTTTGTATAAAGTGCTATAGACTTGTTCGGCATTGCTTTTACTCAAGTCTTTATCACTTTATTAAAATGAAGCAAAACA